GGACGACGACGACTACAACGGACATGACGACGACGACGACGCGCGCGCGCGCGCGCGCGAGAGAGAGAGAGAGAGAGAGAGAGAGAGAGAGAGAGAGAGAGACGCACCTGCTTCACCCTGCTGCACGCTCAGCTCCATGCGCTGGTCGCCCGTCGCCGCGCAGCTCCTCTCTGCTCCACGCGCTGCTCCACGCGTGCACGTCGGGGGACGAGTTCGAAAAATGGCGTGGGCCAAGAACAGTCCCTTTGAAAAATGGCGGCGGTGAACTGCCCCCCCTCCTATTCGAAAAAAAAAAAAAAAAGTAACCAAGTTCACCAACATATTTTCCGCCCCTTCCAGACGGTCGCGAAAGGGCCGAAAAAATAAGGGGCAATTTTTCTTGGGCGGCCCAAGGCTTGAAAAAACGCCCTGGGCCGCCCAAAAAAAATGTTGGCCTGGGGGGCCTCCATCCGGATCGGTTACCGGAAAGTGGTACCGGATCCCGGATCCCGGAGGCTCCGGATCCCTTTCCGGGGGTCCGGATCGTAGCCATGGTAATTGGTGAAGATCACTTTGGCCCTTCGTATGTTGTCGACGTGCCAGCTCACCTGCGCACGTATCCCGTGTTTCATGCATCTAAACTGAATCTCCATCGTGACGCCGAGACATTCGATTACCGCGAAGATATGATCCCTCGCGCAATCAAGGGCGGGCATGAGATAGATAGAATCAAACAGCATGTAGGTAAAGGGAGAAACAAACAGTACCAGGTTCATTTCATGTATCACCCGTTAGATGATCTCTACTGGATCTCCAAACAGGAACTGCTACGCAGCGCACCGCACGTTGTTAAGGCTTACAAGCGACAGATCGCCGCTAATACCACACCAAAGATCTCAGCAAGGCTCTCTGCAACAGAGTATTCCAGGAATCTCTTTGCCTTGGTCGCCTATGATGCGTTTACCGAGGACTCAGAATGAGTTACTCGCTCGAAGGGACCTCGCTCTTGAGGGGGGGGTAGTGTGATAACCTGTCCGAACACGGACTGAAACACACAGCTGATTTCTGAGTTTTGCTCATAGACTGAATGCCCTACTGAGTTCCCCGCCTGCTAAGTCTGTGTGTGTGTGTGCTTGCTGGACTGCATGTCTGTCTGAGTCCTGGTTGGCTTGCGTGTGTGACCATGCCTGTCTGAGTGCTGGTTGGTATGAGTGTGTGTGTGTGTGGCCCGCCAGGGCACTTGTTCGTTCGTTGGGCCCTCAGGGCCGGTACTTACCTGTGGCCGTGGCTTCGAAGGGTTGCAGCAGGGAAAAAGCACTCAAGTAGCGGGTAGGCCGGTACCGCACCCGGCAGGGGGGTAAATATGCAGGTACCGGAGGCCGAGCAGACGAAGACAAAAGTGGCATTTTTAGAGGCCGGTAGTGTAGGCTAGGTCTAGCGGGTACCAGTCTGAGTCTAGGGCCTGTAGGGGCAATATCAGAGTCTGCAATGATGTTCCCTCCAAAGGGAGGAAGAGGTACCGGTTGCTTGGGAAGTCACCGCCCAAGAGGCAAAGCAGGCCGCTATATCTTCCGGCCGGGCGGAAGACCCGGCCTCTTTTTCGGTGTGCAAGTTTGGCGACACACTGGTGGAGCGCTGGAGGGAGCAGCGCTGGGTTGGAGCTGCGCTGCTGGGGAGGAAGAAGGACTAGAGGGAGGAAGAAGGAGGAAGGAAGGAGGAAGGGGGAGGAGCGCCAGGGGTACTTACCTGGCTATGGTGGCAGCCATC